GGGATATGACGACAGTTTATACACTAATGATTATAGATTATTGAAATGTTATAGATTAGAGCTTTAGCCTCGCAGTCATACTATGAGATTCATCGCACATTAGAAATGAACAAACAACACTTTCGTATCTTTCAAAATTTATTGAAACTGTCGTAATATGATGAAATCAGAATGGACAGATATCGTCGACTAACCTTGCATAGGTTACAGACTATGCCTCACCAACTAACGACAGACATTGCACACTGCAGTGAGATGAAAAATGAGATAAAAATAACAAAGAAGTGGTGTGATCGTCCCAGAGGACAGTCAACGAGCATTTATTATTATTATTATTCTTTTAAATGGCGTCTTTCAGCCGTCGTGGTCGGGTCGAGACAGCTGAGGATGAACCGTTTTATTACTATTAATAATAAAAATAATGAGCAATAATGTATGAATTTATCTGAACTCAGTCTGCAGACTCTCAGCTGATCACCGCCACCCGATGATGCTTCCTGTTTTCTCTTCAAACTCCTCAGAGCATCATCATCATCATCATCCTCATCATCACTTGTGTCGTGGCCTGTGAACACTTGTGAAGCTAATGCAGAGTCTCTCAACCCGTTTATTTTTAGCTCGACTTTGGTTCCACACGTTCTTTGTCAGCTGGATTCCTTTAAGATCTTCGAACAGTAAAAATAGTTTCAGGGCAGTGAATTAGACTTTGGGAGCTCATGAAATCGTTATTTTAAATGTGTAAAAGGCGAACTGATCAGTTTTTGTGATCAGAAACTGTAATGTAATAAATGTAAATGTTAGGCATATTTTGGGACCTAAAAGTCAATAATTGAAGATGAAAGCACATTAAAGTCCACTGACTATCTTATCCAGATGTTTAACCATTTCTCAAGCTCAGTTTTTCACTTTTACGTCCCAGACTTTGAGTAAAATGGTGATTAATCTGAGTTTTTACATCCTATTATGCCATAATTTCCGTTTATTCACTCATACAGTATGTAAATATTCCCATTAATTACTGCCTTACTCACATTATTGGACCTAAATATGAATAATTGAAGATTAAAGTCCACTTACTAGCATTTTCTAGATGTTCTAAATGCATTCACTCAAAGTCAGGTGTAAAAGGTCCCATTAATTATCGTCTTACTAACATTTTGGGACCTAATAATTAACAATTGATTACTCAGTTACTATCAACTATCTTTTTCTAGAGGTTTCAGGCTCAATTACTCACTTTAGGTCCCAGAATTTGAGTAAAAGGCTAAGTAATGGGACTTTTTACATCCAATTGTTCTATAATTTTCTCTTTTTAAAGTTTAAATATATGTAAACTTTGAAACTGCCTCACAAATTGACTGTGCAATACAAATATATTTGTCTTTACTAAAAACTATATTTTCTATTCCAAAAATGATCAGTTAGCCTTATAATAATTACCAATTATGACAATAATACACAATTTCATGTCTCTAAACAGCTCATTTTGTCTGTCATTCAATTTAAGATATATTAGCATCAGCAAATATTGGGTAAATTTACTTAATTAATGAAACAATCATTGATAGATTTTCAAAAATTGGCAACAAATCAGTATGAGACTCTTTGATTCAGATAGAAAAATGTGCATTTTATTCTTTCGTACTCTGTTTTAAAGGGCACAGATGCTGGTCCAAGTGGAGAGAAATCATGCAATATTTGTCTTTAAAGCTGCACATCATCAGTATATTATTATATTAACAGTGGATTAAATGTGTGATGTGAAAGCTCATATCGACGAACCCGTCGAACAAATTTCAATATGTGCTAAAAATATCCAAAAAAGTTGAGAAACTCTGCATTGATGGCTTATGTCGGCAGTCAAATACGAGAATTAAACCAAAATATTTTCCCAAATAGCTTCTTATGGACTCGGCAGTTGGAAGCTTGTAAATCCTATTAACTGCAAAAACTGGATTTTATTTTGAAAGGATTGGTGTTTCCCAAAGATTAATAACAACAACATACAGTAAAGATGATGACCCACAATGTAAAAATGTTTTTTTTGTGTGTGTGTGTGTGTTTCATCCATCTGTTCAGCTGCTCTGATGACATGAAAAACTATAAAACTTCATTTGGTCCCTTCGGTGGTGCAGATATGTCTCAAACTTTGGCCTAAAACACTACATGAACAAAACAGAATTTCAAACCACAACACTATCAACTACCCTGATGTTGCTTGTAATCACTAATTTCACATATCTGTCGAGAAAATATAGAACTTCTTTTTTTTAATGTGATTTTATCCTTAAAAAAAGCTGAAATTCGTAATTTTGCTCCCTCGGACCGACTGCATGTTTAACACGTAGCACCTTCGATCTTTTTTTTTTTTAAATCTGACTGAAAGCTTAATTAAAGGGATTATTTTCTTCATTTGTTCCTCAGCAGTTAATAAAACGGGCCTTAAAATTACTGGTTGATGACACACAGCTGATTATATAAATTATTATCTTGTCACATAAAATATGGAGTTTATTATCTTGAAAGCGCAAATTATTTATTTATGCTCACAAACGACCTTGTTAATAACTTATTTTTTGTGCAAAAAAAATTATAATCTTGTCCACACAAGATTAAATCATTCAGGACTTTAAAGTAAACATGAAACAGGAAGCTGTTAGCTTCCAGCAGCCAATAGCACTGAGTTTGTGTTAGCACTATGAGTTAGTATCAGCGTCTTCCTTCCGGACTCGGGACCGAACGTAATCTCAGAGAGCAACGGTGCCAGTCTGAGCACCGAGGTGGTTTTCTTACTCAGTTTGGTTCCTGAAATTACAGCTAAATGAAATGTAATAGAACCTTAATTGATATTATTAGTAACATCTGTCTTTACCCTACTATTTCCTGTCAAAACGGCTGCTGCGAAAAAGGTCTATTGTGTTGTTGCACTGTAACTACGTAAGAGAGTGTGGTTTTAAAAGGCCCTGCTCACCTAAACAAGTGTTCTCAATAAACCTTTTTCACAGCAGCCACTTACACATGAAATAGTAGGGTAAACACAGGTGTTCTCAATGATACCAATTAAGGTTCTGTCCCTTTGAGTATTTCCAGTGTAAGACAAACTCTGTTTGACCTGAATGAAACAGAACCTTAGCATCATTGGTAACACCTATGTTTACCTTATTGATTAAACTCAAAGTGGCTGCTGTGAAAAAGGTCTATTACATTATACACACATATCCGCTCGGATCAGATTCATCTCCAAAACTTGCCAGAAACAGTTTGAGGAGTAAAAGTGTCGGATGAGTCTGCAGCTTTTCATCCGAACTGATCCTCCTGCAGCTGATTTCATGTTTAAGTTGTTTGGTTGGAATAAAAACAACCTGCAGACTCTTACGTAACCGAATCCACTGACTCAGACGAGGCTCCGATCAGCTGTTTAGCTGCTTGACAAAAAGTTGCGTTTCTCCTCAGATTCTGATCTGTTATCTCACAAAGGAAGGCAGTCTAATAATAATACTGTCGATGCTTGCGAGGACGAGTTTGTTCCTGCAACCGACCCCGAGAACTAAACCACACTCTTAATGCCGCCGACAGTGACACATCACAGACGACGGCGTCAGAAGAAGCTGATGTTAACGATATCGGGGGGATAGTGTTGTATAAAACCGTCGCTGGCTGCTGCACATGGCGGTGAGAGAGATTTTTCTCTGAAGTGTTGATCTTAAGTATTTCTGTTTTGGTGACATAACACAATAATGCCTCCACTTCAGGGGCTGAAGCCTGAAAAAGTTCACATTTTTAGATTTAACAGAGAAAAAACCTTTTGTTTTGCCTGATTTTGGACACAACTGGTGACTCATTTTGTCCTCTGAGTATCAGTGGTGCATTCAATGACCTTCACCAACTCATTTCCCAGTGCCCAGCTGCAGAAACTACCTTAATTTTCAGTTTGTCCCTTATGCTAAATATTTCCCTATGTTTGCAGCGTTGCATTAAGTGTCTCAGGTTGTCTCATTGCCAGGTGTTCAGACTGATGGTACGTGTCCATACAGACATTTCCAGAGTCATGCTACCAACGTGACGCTCCATTTCTTGAAACACATGCGTCACTACCAGAATGCATTGCACGGCTGCTCGTATAAACAACGAAGGTAAAGTGTGATAATGACTGATCCTGTGGACACGTACTTTAAGGGTTACTACCCTAACACACTAATGAATGTCTGATGAAGGCCATGAGGCTGAAACATTAGCATATTTTTCTGACACAGCCAAAATAAATTGGAGTAATTGAGATTAGTCAACCTTTTCTTGCCAATCTGTGCGTGCTACCTCTCTAAGATCTAACTATACTAATGAATGTTCTCCACAAGCACAAATTCCAAAGTAGAGTTAAACAAATACACACAAGCAGAAGATTTGGCAAGAAGTAGATAACTGACACAACCAATGCAACAAATCTCGCTGTTAAACAATAAATAGTTAAAAAAATATGAAAGTTTCACAGAAAACGATATCGCTGACGTTAAAATATGAGACAGAGTTGTGTTAACGTTTGGCTAACTAACAACAGAGCTGCTAGCATAAACTGAAAGTTTAGTTTTGCTTGCAGCTTCACATTAATTTTGCTGTGTGCAGAATAAAACCAGATCAGGGGATCTGTAATGGTTTTGTGATCTCAATATTGAAAATAATTATAATTTTGGCCATAATCGTCTCGATATCAGCCACTGTCTTATGTTACGCAGATTGAACATCATAACCACAACCTCAGAAGACCTTTAAGCAACGCGGTGAAGCAACAAACAGCTGAGATTAAAGAGTTTTCCTGAAGGAAATCCTCATGGTGGTTTTATGCAACTCAGTTTTTTCTTCCATAGATGGAAACTTAAGGGCAACTTTAGTTGTTTTATGCAACCAGGCACTGGTGTTAAGGTGGTGAATCTACAGTAAATCATATGAAGTGTACTGAAAGTCACGTATCAGCTCTACTTTATATTGAAATTCTTGATATTATGATATATTGTCTTCCACACATTTCGTCCCAGCATCTCCTCACAGTCGATCTTTGCAGCATCAACAGTGAGTTAATTCTGGTTGACACTCTTCTTTTAACATTGTCCAGATTCATTAAATCACATGTTGTCCTCCTGAAAAGATTCCCTCACACAGCCATGTGCTTCTTCCACAAAACAACACAGCAGCAGCAGCAGCGCCATTTTGCTGGCATGCAGAGTGACTAATGCCTGTGGTAATGTTCACATGAATGCTGAGTTCTCTGCAGAGGAAACCACTTCCACTGAGGTCACATTCATCATTATCTCTCTGCAGCAGCATCCACAACCGGGCACTCGCAGGCGTACAAAACATTTATTTCCCCTCTAATTTCTTGAGCCTGGACCAACTGTCCGAACACTGAGGACGCGCTGGGAGATGTAAGCCTCAACTCGAGCACAGAAAAACTGTCGTAATGCTGTTGTTGAGATGCAGGAAAAACGACCACAGTGAGAGAAACCGACGTCAGGAAGCAAAGCAGAGGACGTGTAAGGCTCATTGTTTTACACATTTCTTTATAAAGGACAGCAGATCTGGTTTTCAGCACGCTTTTGTTTTTGGTCCCAGAAAACAGAGCGGCAGTGTTTTATGCAGCCAGAGGGCGCTGTTCAGCTGAGTTCACTGGAAACAGACTCCGGACGGTGGCAGTTGATAGAAAGTGAGAAAAAGCTGCTGATTATTCTGCAAGAGTCCTTTGAAATGTTTAGTGCTGCAGTCAGAGCCGTAGCTTTAAATATATATTAAGTCTAGTGGTTTCTATATTTTCATCTCATCATTAAATCTCATGTGCAGACTCAAACCAACAGTTAATGTACACATTAACCCTTATATAGCTATACTTTTAAATATCTACAGCTTTAGTATTAACAGACAGGCAAACACATTGTTTGGATGTGTCTGCACGTGGGATTCTTTGACAATAAGAAAAATATAAAGTATCAACACACATTTAAAACAATAGGATTTGTTTCGTCACCTTTTAAAAAACGTGTCTGGAAATGATAGAAGTACATGATAGTGACACTTAAACACGTTAAAGACGAACTACGTCCCTGTCTGCAAATGTATTAATATGATCCAATTTTCATCTGTATTTTTGTATATAATTGAAAATAATGAGCCTTATGATCGATATCGGTGTCAGTTATCTGTCTGCTTTGCTTATAAAGAGAAATAAAGATATTTTTCAGCATATTACTCATAATTGTGGTAATTCTGAATCATTTTCAAGCTAATTAGCAATAAGCAAATAACCGCCTCAATTTAAGATTTTAGAAAGTCCAAACTACAGTTAACACCAGAATTAGCCCAATGGATTAGCTACAGTTGCTAATTAGCTTATCTGAACAACTTTATCCTAATCAAAGTACTCAAACAAGGAGCTCAATCAAATTAAAGAGAAAAGCTGTTAAGTAGATCCATCTTATATGTGAAACAGCTAATCCAGGAGGCTAATTTCAGTATTTCCTTTCATTTGGATTCAAAAGCGTTTACAAGTTAGCTATCTGATAAATAAACCTATTAGCAGAGATTCCTACGTATGTAGTTAGTTAACTAACAGACAGCTAGCTTTGTTAGCTGAGTCTGCAGCATATGACCTACAGTCAGAATAGCCACAATTTTGAGAATAATGAACGTCCCTTCATGGTTGTCAAACTCAAGCACCTGCAGATATACGACCAGTAATTCTCGAATTTCAATGCAAACAATCCACATTTTAACCTCTTTGTCTCGGTAACTGTTCACTAGCAGCCATGTGTCATCAACCAGGATAAATGTGAGTTCATGTAGGCCCAAAGATCTGGCCCCAGAATCAGGATCATTTTCACATCTTGATCAAAACCTGTTGGTCTGAAACCCTCTTCCAGATGTGCAGGGAGTAGTGCATCTTTATGGCAGGAGAAGATAAGCTGCACATAGTAAGCTCTTTGCTGTCTATTGTAACGGGAGGCACTTCAGTCAATTCTATAATGCGACGGGGTTCAAGGCACTAAGAAACTAATTTTAGATATATCTATGAAATTTGTTAAATATTACTGCTTTCCCTTCTTGAAACTGTTTAAAAGTCAAATGCTAGAAAATAAAATGGGGTCACAAATCACATAAAATGATCCCATGCACTCCATCGTCAAAAATCAAAGCTTTAAATAAATGAAAGAGGAGGATGTAATTTCTGAAATGTCATTTTTTTAAAAGAGATCACCGGATGTGTCTCTTCTGATATTTTTTTGTCTTGTTTTTGTTTTTTTGTTTTTTCAGCAGATTTGTCCCCTTCAGCAGTTTGCTCCGTCATGCACCGTATCCTGTCGTTAGCTCGACAATAATGAGGAGAATCATCATCATCATCATCCCCCAGCTCCCGAGGTCTCTCCACAACTGCAAGCAATTTAATACTGTAGTCATGCATTGAGTATACATAGCTATACCATAGCTAATTAGGCCATAATGCTTTAGTATTTTGACATGCCATGATCTTCGAAAAAGAAGTGTTCCTGTTCCCTTAATGCTTTTAACATTCAACACTTAAAATGCTTTAAAATAACTTATAATAAATAGCCAGTGCACTTTTGGTGAAAACAAATGAGAGAAAAAATTCCAGGAGAAGATGAGGGTCGAAGAAGGAAAAACAAAAATGTAAAAATTAAAAATGAGGTAACGTCTTGTGCATGCCGATATAAGAGAGAAGAGAGTCTCCACATGCTTTTATATAAAGGAGTGTTGCATGGCATCATACACGGAACCTCCAGCCGACCTGTAGCAGCAGCAGCGGTGCAGATAATCCTCCACAAGGCTCGGCACACTTCCTGATTGTTTTTGATAAGGTGCCTGAAAAACGTCGACCGACATCTGGCGTCGAGTTTTCCAAAAAATGTCCCTGGATGTGCCGCAGAAAAAACACGCCCCGAACTTCAACTGTAATCCACTCCGAGTGTTTCTTCAGAGAGTGAGTCGTCCGCCGACGTGTTCTTCGAATCTCACTTGGGCTTCGTTGTTTTGTTTTTTCTTTTTTCCTGAAAGTTGAGTCTATTGCACAAAGCCTGGTAGGTGTCGGAGAGATTTTTTGATAAACTCTTGTGCCCTCAAATTGCAAATTATTCCCTCAAGCTTGTTTGAATCTCTATATTCAATCCTCAAACTTTTGTGTTTGCAGCTGACTTTCATTACATTGAATTCGGGACTGTTTATGTCTCGAGTGCAGCACTTGTTGTTGAAAAGGTGCAACACAAACAAACTCCTCTTGAGGGAAATTCCCTCAAATTTACTAAATCTTCCCCTCAGACGACTTTATTTCCTTCTCGCTTGTGCATCCGTCTGTATCCATGAAAAGCTCCAACAAGAACAAGATTTCCTTAACAAATTATCCAAGTTAATCTAAAACAAGCTGTAATTCTATAATGCATTTAAGAGACGTTGAAGATAACAAAATTGTGCCAAGATAACCCTAATGACATCCCTATCGGATGTTCTCAGGCTTCTGCAAACACATTACATATCAGTAAACTAATCTTCTTGTGTAGAATTGTTGGAGTTCCCCTTCAACTTGAGGGAATAAAGTGAGTAATTCAACGGGGCGAGTTTCTAAAATGAGCGAATACTTGATCAAAAAATGTTCCCCCGACACCTACTGATCTTTGAACTATTGCCAAATGACTCCACTCTTTTTGACCCTCTACCTTTATAAATGTACCATGTGCGCCTTTAAACTCTGTAAGTATTCACACACGTTTGAATGAATCAATGCAAAAGAAGAATAAAATGCACCAATGGAGATAAAGCATCCAGATATTTCTACAATATTTACACCGGTGCGCCAGAGGCTGCCTCACACGTCGGTGAGCAGCTTCCCCTTGTTCACACAATTCTGGCTGGGAGCCGTGCAGTTGGCAGTCCTAAGGTTCGCTTCCCTAAAGTTATCGATGCTGTTGTTCATGTCCTCGTCTATCTCCATGTACTCCGACTTGCTGACCACCGAGGAGCTGCGGCGGCTTGAGTTGCTGTCCGACGCCAAGTTCTGGTTGCTGACGTTGAGCAGCTGTGCCTGCTCCTCGCCCTCCGTCTCACGGTGGTAGAAGTAGTTGAAATTGGACACGATGACGGGCACCGGGAGTGCGATGGTTAACACTCCGGCGATGGCGCACAGCGAGCCCACGATCTTCCCTCCGATGGTCACCGGGTACATATCCCCGTAGCCGACGGTCGTCATGGACACTACGGCCCACCAGAAAGCATCCGGGATGCTGGTGAAGAACGACTCCTTCTCCTCGGCCTCAGCGAAGTAGACGGCACTGGAGAACAATATCACGCCGATGAAGAGGAAGAAAATGAGCAAGCCCAGCTCCCGCATGCTCGCCTTCAGAGTTTGCCCCAAAATCTGGAGCCCCTTCGAGTGTCGCGAAAGTTTAAAGATCCTGAACACCCTCACCAGGCGGATTACCCTGAGAATAGCCAGAGACGTGGCCTGTTCCCCTCCTCCCTTCCCCTCCTTGTTGTCTGGGTCGTCAGCAAGCTCTGTTCCAAGAGTGATGAAGTACGGGATTATAGCCACAATGTCAATAGAGTTCATCATGTTTTTAAAGAACGCCGCCTTGCTGGGACACGCGAAAAACCGGACTATCAACTCAAAGGAAAACCAGATGATGCAGAGCGTCTCCACCACGAAGAAAGGGTCTGTGAGGAAATTTGGTTTGTAATACACGGTGACATTCCCCACAATCTGAATCCGCACGCTGGGATCCTCCTTCAGTTCTGGTAATGTCTCCAAACAAAATATTACTATTGAAATAAGAATAACCATCACTGAGACGATGGCGATCCCCCGGGCGGGCCCCGAGCTCTCCGGGTGCTCAAAGAGGAGCCAGATCTGCCGCTGGAACTCCTTCTCCGGCAGCGGACGCTCCTCCTCCCGGATAAATCCCTCGTCCTCTCGAAACTTCTCCATGGCCTCCACGCCGAGTTCGTAAAACTTTATCTCCTCTGAGAACATATCCAGGGGCACGTTGACCGGCCTTCTTAGCCGTCCCCCGGATTGGTAATAATACAAGATGGCGTCGAAACTTGGGCGATTCCGGTCAAAGAAATACTCGTTTCTTAAGGGGTCGAAGTAGCGCATCCTCTTCTTGGGGTTCCCGAGGAGAGTCTCCGGGAACTGGGCGAGAGTCTTTAACTGGGTCTCGAAGCGCAGCCCCGAGATGTTGATAACCACCCGCTCGCAGCAGTCATGGTCGTCGTGGTCGTCGTCGGGCGGGTAGGGGTCCTGCGGGTGTCCCGGCAGGGTGGAGGTCTCGTCCATGTTCTCCGTGGACACCACGGTCATCCTTCCTGGCGGGCGGTGGGCAGGAAGAGGAAGCGGTGTGAAGGTGAGGAGCAGCAGGTCGGAGCGAAAGGGAGCCTCTACTGAGGCCGGTAGCTGTGCAGAGCCTCCCTCTCCATCTTCATCATCATCTTCATCGTCGTCGTCGTCTCCGAGCTGAACATCTTCTTTCTCTCAGCAACACTTTGTCCTTCACCTGCAGGAGGGTGAAACAAACAAGTCTTACAGAGCTCACAGACGTCCCTCCACCTCCCGTCTGTATACGAGGAGACAAACAGCTCCTGCAGTACAGAACAGGAGCCTGTGCTGCATTTGCTGTATTTTTACCGCATACATCAGTATTCAAGTTTGCAGTCCTGCTGCGCTGTCTCTCTGCGCACTCTCAGTTTCACCTCACCCATCAGATAAACATCTCACACATTCAAAATGAACAAATAAACACCTCCTGCATGTTAAAATAACCTCTAATGGAAAAATATGATCAATAAAAATGTACCTGTGCTGACGAGCTGCAGCAGATGGAAGGAATGTCCTCACCCTGCGCACCTTAACACAACTTGGCTTTTTAATGCTGATATCGTTTTACAGTATGTCTGAAAAATTAATAGACTATGTTGTCTTGGTTAACATCCGTATCCTCTTGGTGTTGGTTTTCAGCGTCGATCGGAGCAGCCCGCAGGAGGAGGAGGAGGAGGAGGAGGAGGCTTCAGACGGCTTTGAACCGCGGCTCAGCAGCAAAAATCCTGACTGACAATTTGTTAAAATCATGCTGGAAATAAAAGAGGCGGAAAGATATGAGAAATAAACAGCTGGATCCAGTCTGATGGGGAGGACTGGGAGGACTGGGAGGACTG